TATTCACTTTTTTTGGGAACTGAACCCATGACCTTGTGTCATGCTCTACTCTTTAAAGGGAAAGTTCACCCAAAAATGAAAATTCTGTCATTAATTACTCACTCTCGTGTCGTTCCAAACCCGTAAGACCTTCGTTCATCTTCAGAACACAAATTAAGATATTTTTGATGGAATCTGAGAGTTGTCTGACCCTGCATAGACAGCAACGCAACTGTATTGTTCCCAAGTCCAGAAACATAGCAAGGATATTTTTTTTTTTCTTTTGCACACAAAGTATTCTCGTAGCTTCGTATAATTGTGGTTGAACCCCTGATGTCACATGGATTATTTTACTGATCTCCTTGCTATGTCTCTGGGAACATTGCAGTTTGTATTGCTGTCTATGCAGGGTCAGACAGCTCTCAGATTCCATCAAAAATATCTTAATTTGTGTTCCGAAGATGAACGAAGATCTTACGGGTTTGAAACGACATGAGGGTGAGTAATTAATGACAGAATTTTCATTTTTGGGTGAACTAAACCTTTAAGGTCTCTGAATTGGTGAGACACTTGGCAAGCATAGTGTTTGTTTGACAGCTCTTATGGAACAGGTCCAAAAGAGTAGACCAACCACAATCACCGGCAAATAAAAGAAAAATGAAGATACTGACAAGCACAAGTGTGTTATTTGCAGTTTGGGTAAAACATTGAATATTTTTATTTGTGTCTGCAGAGTGTTTGTACATATTTCCATGCCAGTGGAACTACAGGCCAGATCACTGCATGTATGGAAGCAACTGCAAGGCTGCGGAAGAGGAGGGGGTGTCTATTCTTCATGGTAACCGTGGCGTGTACCATGACGACAAGCAGCCCGCCTTCAGGGTGGTGTATGATGCCATACGTGAGGTGAGTTGCTACTATCATTGTATGATAAAACTAATAGAATGGCTAGGGCTGGGCGGTATGACGGTATATATCGTTACCGCGAAATAAAGTGTCTAGCGTTAGAGATTTTGCTATATCGTGTATTCCGCGGTATGCACATATATCTGCGTAACATAGTACTGCTTAAACGTTATACACCTTTTGAGTGATAAGGATACATGCATGAATGAGAAAACAAAGAGTGGGATGCACTTGGTAGAGTTATTAAGTGCAATAAGCAGTGAAAAAGAACTCAATGCGGTGCTCACGCTGACTGACACACAGCCGAAGCGCACGCACTGAAAGCTTCTCTCTCGACAGCATGTGATCGCAAAAACAGATCTCTTTTTCACGTGTTTTACTGTGCTTGAATGGTCAAATACGCACACAGTTATGTCATAATGCCCGTCGTGTGGAGTATTCAAGTAAACACAGTCGGATATATGTTAAATAAATGTAAAACAGTTGGGTGAAAACCGTGTTTCAGTATATTGGATCCGTGCAGTTGGTCTTAAAGGGACAGCAGCCTTATTTACCTGCTGCTGTCTGTCATTATTAATGTTAATCATGTTTGATTGATGCAGTGAAGACTATGCAGTGTTTTATTTATACACTTTATTCAATTTCTGGAATATTTCTTACTACATGTTAAATAAACCTAGCCTACTGTAGCTGAATAAATTAAAAGTTTATTTCATATTTATTTGTTCTGCTGTGCTTGTAATTTGCTTCTTTTTCTTAATTTTAATAACAAAAATAAAATAAAAATAGCGATATCGAGGTACATATCGTTAATGAAAACGTAAAATAAGATTTTGGTCATATCGCCCACCCCTAGACTGTTAGACTGATAATAATATGTTGCCAAATTTACACTGCAAATGTGGCACAGAAGCACTTCTGAAGTGGCATTTAGGTGTTTTTACCCAGACTGTTTAATGCTGCTCAGAGGTGGCATAAATGCATTTTCACAGCAATTACAACTGTATTCTTTGATACTAGGGTCTGAGGCGGGTCAAAGCATGCTTAATTTAGTCTGGCTTTTACGCAGCATTGCATAAAAACTTGGCTCTGTAAAGACACCTTATGTTATGCATACTAGCATACAAGTATTTATTTATTCATATTTTAAATGTCTTTAAAAGGAGGCTGCATGTATGTGTTTTATGTGTGTATGTGTATATATATATATATATATATATACTGTATATATTACTATTTTCTACTTTAATATAATTTCATGCTGAATTTTCAGCAGCCATTACTTCAGTCTTGAGTGTCCTTCAGAAATCATTCTAATATGTTGAATTGATGCTCAAGAAACGTTTCTTAGTATTATCAATGTTGACAACAGTTGTGCTGCTTAATTTTTTTTTCAGGAGTCTTTGAATAGAAAGTTAAAAAGAACAGCATTTAATTTAAACATTTATTTGAAATTCTTTTGTAACATTTAAATGTCTTTACTATACATAAAAAAAACACCCCCACAAGCAGCACACTAAAAACAAGTAAGAACACTCTAGCAACGCCCAGGCACACAATCAATATTTTTTCAGAGAATGTAAAAGCCAGTTGTTTGACTTGAATTTTTTCATTAGATTTTAAGCTTAAGAAATGTAATCCATTTGTCTTCGCTTTGCCAGTCCACTTTCTAATTTTCAGTGCTAACAAAGCAAATCCTGAGGGTGTTGAATCATATGAGAATAAATAGTGTTGCATTGTGCATTCAGAGTGCAGTCTCCTTGAATCTCTCTTTGAAGACTAATAGCAGGAAAGTGTCTCTTCAAGAGGAAGCCTTTTGTATGGTTGAGTCACGTGGGCCCCTCTGCTGTTCAGAATTCAGTCAGATATGAAATGTGGACCTTGTGCCTCAACAAATACACCAAAGCAGTTCCTTGAACACTTTGAAACCTAATGTATTTCATCTTCTCTTTCAGTATCCTTTTGAGGAGAACTTGTTCCAGTCTTTATTTTACCCTCTTCAGACTAAGTTCCTAGACACAGTTAACACCCTTTGTGGAAGGATACCACAAGTGTTCCTCAAACAGATTGAGAAGACCATGAGGGCTGTTTATGAGAAAAAAGTGGTGCGCCGTGTCCGACTGCCACACGAGTAATGAGCCTCGACTGCATTTCAGCATCATAAGGAAGAATCTCGGCCTGCTGCTTGAATCAGAGTGATCTTTTTCATCGAAGACGAGCAATGCCAAAGGCAAGCTACATTTGGTCCATTAGGCACAGTATGAGCTTCATGAGCCAGAGGAGTTGGAGATTTAAGCTGGAAGTTTCATTTGAGCAGACGTTTTGGTCTGCTGAATGGAAACCGCAATGCAGGATGAATGGGATACCATCAAAACTCTTGAAACAGAGAAGTGACCAAATGCATCGAGTGTCTCCAACTGTGGGGAAACCAACCACCTGAATGTTCCTGAAAGAATATGAGAGACTCGTTGACAACGCTGTTTTTAGCCAATCCAAAAATATAGATTCATAACTGTTTATTTACAACTGTGTTGTACCATTTTTCAGCATCTAGTTCATTATGTCTGGTATTACACAATTGGAGCATTTGTGTCTCAGTATAATTTATCTAATTCTTGTCCTTAAGTGGCTGCACCAGTTTGTTTGTGCATTCTGCTGCTAAACAACGCCTTGTTTTCAAGCCACACAAATGAATGTAGCATGCAGAAACAACCAAAGAGAACTAGCCTGTCAGCCTTTAGAGCTCAGCAAGATTCAGTTTAAGCACAGCCCTAATGGTGGATGATCACACTGTTTACATTGAAGATGACTTGTTAGTAAGACTACTAGAAAGAAGCCTGATGTTGTAATTTTGTCATTGGGGTTGCATTTTAATATATATATATATATATATCATTTCATGAGAAAACCTTTTGTAAGAATTCCTCTTAAGTCTGTTGTCCTGTATATTGATACGACAAGCCTATTCTGATGGACATAATGAATTTGATGTTGAATTTGTGGTGGAATGTATTTTTTTGTATAATCTGCAACAGTCTGAGAGCTACGCAAAAGGTCTAAATGTTAAAGTATTTTTTAGCAATATTCAGACCGGTCAAGTTTAAAGGAAACATTTGTTGTTTTACCCTGTGCTTTGTTAGGAGTTTGAACTTCTGCCATAGTGGGATTGAACTAATGCGATCATTTAAAATAAATCATATGCACTGATTAGAAAGGTTTGCACATCATAACAGTATACATAAAAATAAAACTACGATAAAACAATGCACAGCTGTACAGTTTACAGTTCAGTGCACTTTTTAATACTGAATTTGGAGAAAATAAAATTAAAGGAAAAAATGGCAAGATTTACAAAACAAACTCTCTGCACCCCGTATGATCAGTTTACCCATCTCTTAAAAAAAATGAAATCCATTCAATTTTGTGTAATTGCAGCCTTTTTATTTTGTTGACTGTTTCAGTGTGACAGTAAGAATATAGAAGGCAAGAGTGTGTTGTGATGTGTGTTTTGATATGTTCATTAGCACAATGTGCTTAATTATATGTGTGACCAGTTTCCAGCCTCTTGTCACTGGTCTGGGATCAGTGATGACATTTCTTTAACTGGAAACTCAGGAGACTTTTATACATCTCATGTTATCTCTATGTGAAGAGATGCACCAGCGAGGTTTATTGTATCCAGTGTGCTTTTCTGTCTTTCTGAATGTCTTGCATTGTATGTATTATTGTCCTTTTATACATAAGTGTGTATGTCAGAAATGTAATAAATAAATATGCATTTAATATTGATTTGACTTTGCCTAACAATTAGCTTTGCATTATATTTCATTACAGTAGGTTCAAATTGAGAGTGAGATGAGTCATACTTGCTTTTAAACAAACGGGATGAGTGTTCAATTATAAATAGGCTAATTGGCTGCACAAGATATTCGGGCCGTGTTTAAAAACCTATTGAACCTACCTTGACAGCATTTAAGGGCATTACGTTTGTTCAAATCGCGCCTATTGTGCTCCAAAATGCTGTCTACATGGGCAGCTCACTAGGTTTTGGCACATTTGCAACTTGCAAGGCACATTTACGAAACACTTTATGCCTACAAAGCCCCAAAAATGATGTCTAGGTGAGCAGCTGACAAAATTTTGAGACGCAGCCACACCGTTGCGCAACACAGTCAGCGCTCCCGAAGCGGCCGGCAGTGACGTCGCAGACGCCGCCATATTGAAATGTTTCCCTTCTCCTCTTCTTCACTGAGCTCAACAGCAGCCATCAGCTTTCGCTTTCCAGCTGGAGACAGGGACAACAACACAGACATGGAGACAGACACCCTTCTGGAAGCTCTTAAAGGTGCCCGGCTGTGTGTGCTGAGGTGGTCTGCGTGAGTTTAGAGAGGAGTTATATGTGCTTATGAGCTGGTAATGTGAGCTAGCTAATGTTAGCATGGCCTGTGGCTAAATGGCTTTTCCTGTTTTTCGAGGTCTGTTGTGGGTTAAGAGCAGATCAACTGGTTTCTTTTTCCTATTTTATGACTTCAATCTTTTATTTTTTTTGAACGACGGTTTAGCTAAGTAATACGTTTATAAACAAGACTTGTTGATTGAGATAACTAGTTAGTGGTTTTGGATGATGTAGAGTTGATTTGAGTACATTACACATCTGTTTATTCAGGGTTAACTCTAAACTAGTGAAAAATTTTATTATAAAGTCCGATTTTCTTTATAAGTTTTCTTTATAACGTGATTTTTTTTGGAATTTACACCTTAATTGGAGTTGTACTCTGTTCTGCTACTAACTTGTATATTATTATTATTATAATTACTGTTATTATTGTTGTTAATAATTTCTCATTCTTATATATATATATATA